ATTATGATCCATTTTAGCCTTGTTTTAACTATTGTTATGTAAAGACAACAATATGTTCTGAAATCCGAACTATTCAATAGTCCGAACTACCCCCGGTCCCAATTAGTTCGGATTAAAGAGGTTCTACTGTACAGAATTGCTGCATATTTATGCTTTGTCGTACGGTTTATACTTTGGCGCACATCAGGATTCCAACGAAACAACACAAAACAGCGTGGTTCTATTATGCACATAATCCGTGTACGATTGGAAATAGGTTGGCAACACTTAAAGATAATAATACTATGAGCAGCTGATAGACAATTATAACTACGATTTAACGTGTTATTTTGTGTTTATAGTTTCGGTATTTCTGAACTTTCTGGACTTTTCTTTTAAACATTCTTAAAACATTCCTACGATCTTTATAAACAAGAAAATACCTTTAAAGCATTTTTTAAGGCGCCGAAACCACTTCAAATTAAATCATGAAGTACCGCCGCCACAGCAAACCTGCAGACTAAGCGAATGTCCATTTGCCTGATTTGATTTTCAATTAAAACTATTCAAATAACATTAGGTTCAATGAGTATTTAGATTTGCTGCCTACAGGGAGGGTAATAAAGTGTGTTTTTTAGTAAATTATTAATAGCTGAGTATAAAATAAATAGGTTTGCAAAGTTTGATCCAAATATATATTCATAAACAAGCAAACTACAACATTTCACTTATTCTCCATAAGAATAACATGGGAATTTTGAATTAAAATAAATAGGTTTGCCAAGTTTGATCCAAATATATATTCATAAACAAGCAAACTACAACATTTCACTTATTCTCCATAAGAATAACATGGGAATTTTGAATTTACAATTTTCTCTGTGACCAATAACCATACAAAAACACTTCAATATACTAAATTATTTGTTTTTTAAGCCCTTCAAAATGTTCTAGAGAAAATTGAGAAAATTTTATGTTTTGAGGATCAAGAACTATTGTTACCCAATAATTCCCCCATAAAACACCGTTTCCATGGTCCGATCACGCTGGTTCGCAAACTCATTCGAATAAATGTAGGTTTACACGTTTGTACCGAAAATTCATCGAAATAGGATCATTTTTGCTCGAGTTATTGTGCTAACGGACACACTCACATATATATTGTATAGATTATATATTATAACCTGACATATCCAATGTATTCAAAAGAATATCTAATGGAAATAAAGATCTTATCTTATCTTATCTTATATATGAATTGGAACGGATGGTGGTTTTGGCATCCAAATGAAATAGTAAATCGGCCCCTGGACCAAGTCTTACCATGATTACTACGGTTATAGCTTAAAAATTCCATATATGGGAAATTCGCTAAAATGAACAAAACAAATAAATATTAACAGTTTACAAATAGTTGAATTTTGAGAACATAAAATTGAGTACAGACCAAAGGAAAAATTTAATCAGCCTAAAAGAAAATTAAAATTAAGATGAATCACTTAAGCAGAATTCCCATAAAGTTACCAGAAAACGAGATATAAGGTAAAATATCCACCATATGAAAAGCATGGGGACTGAAAAATGTCTGCATTCTAATCAGCTGTTGCTTATTTATTTGTAATGTTTACATTTATTCCAAAAGTCAATGTTGTTAAATTATGTTTCAAAATGAAATGTATTCGTTTAATTTTTTGGTTTTCCGTTTTTATAATGAGTGAAGTAACTAGGCAGGGTAGGGGAAGACCTGCAAGAGGTGGAAGAGTATCCAGGAATATTTTTTGTTTCCCGTTTTTATAATGAGTGAAGTAACTAGACAGGGTAGGGGAAGACCTGCAAGACGTGGAAGAGTATCCAGGAATTCAACTAACACAAGAAATGCTGAAAGAGAACGTCATGTAAGGTCTAAATATGAAAGAAATCCACAAGCTGGTTTACAACCTGCCTTCAGAAGGATGCTGGAAAATTGTTTCTCACAATATAGGTCCTCTTAACAGCACTTGCATGCATTGTGGCGCATTTCACTTCGCAGAGGAGGCCACAAATGGACATTTCGACGCATGTTGCCACAATGGACTCATTAACACGCCACAACCACAATTAAATTACAAACTAAAATAATGTTTTTACATGATTCTAAATTCATAAAAAACACAAGGAAATACAACAGTGCAATGGCTTTTGCGTCGCTTTCCGCTACACAGAGAGAATTCCGGGAAATGGGTCTTATTGTTTTAAAATTCAGTGACAAATTCATAGATATATTTCTGACTTACTACTGCGAAATGGGGGTTACCTTCATATGGACAATTGTGTCTAAATTAGGGGCTATGGCTCCTACAGGCCACTAGTATATATATATATATATATATATATATATATATAATATAATATAAAAAAAATATATATGGCCTATATAAATATATATATATTAAAAAATGAAATAAATAATTAAACATTTAGTACCCTTTTTTTTAAGTTATTAATTTATTGAATAAACTTACATGTTTCGGCTCTTAGGCCATGATCACAGTTATGAACAAATAGTAAATAAATAGAAATGTAAATAATAAATAAGTAAATTATCATATGATTTTGGAATTTTGTCTAGTATATAGGTTGGCTTAAGTGTTGTTTTCTTTTGATTTATTATATAAGATTTTTTCATACAGGGTGACTGCCGGGAACCGGACGAATTTGCAACAGCTGTTACATTGTTGCTACACGTGCTAGGGAGATTGAGGTTATGTCATTGTTTTGAGTGAGCTTTAACATTTTAGTCACGATGAATCAGTGGTCAGTTCAGCATCGTGTTTTTGCATATGACACATTTATTAAAAATGGCGAATCCGTTATAAAAAAAAGCATATCTTCCGACGCCACTTTAATATTGCGCGAAATGACACGGTTCCAAGCCGGAATACATTGCTAAGATGGGTGCACAAGTTCAGAACAACAGGAACAGTATCAAAGAAAAAGCCACCCCGTCCAGCAAGAACAGTGAGAACACCAGACAACATCGCCACAGTGAGAACTGCTTTGATGAGGAGCCCGGGTCGCTCTGCACGAAGACACGCACAAGAGCTACGCATGAAGCGCGATTCTGTCAGAATAATTTTAAAATCTGATTTGAAAATTCATCCCTACAAAATACAGATGGTACAGCAACTGAAAGAGAGGTACTATGGACAAAGAGAATATTTCGCAGTACGTATGCAGGTGTTGTTTACTGATAATCCTGATGTAATGATGTTAATGAGCGACGAAGCTCACTTCCACTTAAACGGTTCAGTGAACAAACAAAACTTTCGATATTGGGCTCCTGAAAATCCATGTAACTTTCATGAAAAGCCACTTCACTCTCCAAAAGTAACGGTTTGGTGTGCTGTAGGCCACTTTGGGATAATTGGTCCGTATTTTTTTGAGGAAAATGGAGTCACAGTGACAGTGAATTCTGCACGCTATATTCACATGTTGGAAACATATCTCAAGCCACAACTTCGGAGGCGAGGAATAAACGTGAAAAATGTTTACTTCCAACAAGATGGGGCCACAGCGCATACTGCCGCTGCATCGATGCGAGTTGTGAAGATGTTCCCTGGCAAGTTGATTTCACGTTTTGGTGACGTGCCGTGGCCGCCGAGGTCACCAGATTTGTTGCCCTGTGACTATTTCTTATGGGGGTATTTGAAAGCTCGTGTCCATGTTAACAAACCACGAACATTATTGCAGCTAAAAGATGCATCACCGAAGAGGTGAATTTGATTGGACAAGACATGTTGATGAGAGTGCGTAATGATTTTCTCCAGAGGTGAAAATCATAACCTCTGGTACGTTTTGGTAACGGCCATCCCATGCATGATATCATCTTTAAGAAATAACCCAAACTATGATAAAAGGTTCCATAAACATATGTTTTTTGAAATGGTATGATTTCACCAATATATATTCAACAATTAAATTATTTTACTATATAAAATAAGGTTGTACTATTCATTTAAAAAACGTCCGGTTCCCGGCAGTCTTATATTATGTTTTCTTTTTGAATTTGCATTGTATTAAGTATGTTTTCAGGATCTTTTTTATGGTTTCTATATATGTGGAATTCTTCTTTAATGAATAATTTGGCTTTGTTTGGTTCAAATTCAATTATTGATAAATTATTTTCTATATTTTGATATTTATGATTAGTTTTTATTAGGTGTTCTGCGTAGTTTGATTTCATACTTGTTGAATTTTTAGATTTAAATGCCTGTATATGTTCTTGGAATCTACATTTGAAGCTTCTTCTAGTTTGGCCAATATAATACTTGTTACAGTCTGTACAGGAAATTTTGTAAATACCGCTTTTGTTAAATTTTGATAATTCTTCAGTTATTTGTTGATGTTTGGACACTTTTGAATTTATAATCTTAAAGACGTTGTTTTTTGTTCTATATGTTGCTTTGTAATTTGTTTTAGATAAGGTTTTCCTCATTGCTTTATTTAATTTAGAGTTATGAGGGAGACATATGTATTCTATTTCAATTTCTCATCTTTTTTTCTTCTGTTTCTTGATTTTGTTTTTTATCATATTATCAATAAGATTGTACTTATATCCATTTTCGGCTGCAATATATATATATATATTTATTTGAACGGATGGTGTTTTTGGCCTCTAGGGACCTCAAAACAAAAAAGTAAACCGATCCCGGGTCCAGGTCCTACCATGAGTAGGCCTACTATGGTAATAGCTTATTCCATATATGGTAAATTCGCTAAAAACAATTGGATGTGTATCTGTCAGCTTTAACACATTTCAAATTCATTTATTTTATTAAACTTTTAATAGAATAACATATCTGGGTTTTATGCTTGTTAAGGTAAATAAGTAAATAATAATTAACTGTCAGTAGGCTACTGGCAGAGTACATTACTGTACTACTGGCAAGGAGAGTAAAAAAATTAAAATAATGATATCATTATTTGGGTCATTAAGCTGTACACTGTAAAATATATCTATTATCCAGTGCTTTTGTTTTTAGGAATATTCCGTGGAGAAAGAAGCAATGATCCAGAGAGTCATTATCATCAACGATTTAATGAATTAGTTTCAAAGAACCACAACAGAAGTGTTGCTCCTTCAACCATAGGAAGCTTGTGTGAATCATCCATCAGTGGAAAGTATTTTGACAGCAATCAAGGTCAAATTAACAATGGAACCCTTAGTACAAATCAGTTTTATAAAAATAACTCAAACCAAAACCGAGAAAACTGTTTAAGCCAACCTCTGATTGAGAGTTCCTCCACATATACTGGTGTATCCGATGCATCACTGTTTAAAAAACCTCTGCTTCCCAAAAGGTTTAATTGTAGTCCACGTGTCAAGAGGAGATTAGATATTTTTACAGATGCTCTTTGTTCGATCGAGGATAAGGTAATTAATACAATTGGTTTGGTGTGAATACATATGGCTGGCAGAAAATTAGTCATAAGAAATTAAATGATTGGTAAAGTGTATTGCTGTCAGAGTATTATGTTAGGAGCTAGGCCTACAAATAATCTGCAGTCGAGTAAATCCGTACGACAACTCTAAAAAATTGCTATATAGGCTATTGTTTTATTGGTTATTTTGACTGAGAATTATGTGCATTTACCAGGAAAAAAATCTAAAGAAATTGGAGTCTTGGAAGTCCAAAATTCAAGATAGCGTCCAAGATTTTAATAAAATACTTGCATACTGTTCTTTCTAACCAATTTTTTTTAAAATTAATGTGCAATTTCTGCCTGGAACAATCATTAATAGGTCCTAAAATAAAGAATGCAAGCTAAAATTCAACATACATATTTGATTTACTTAAATAAATAAATATCATATTTATGACGGCAACATTAACCTAACTTACATTACTTTTTTGTATTAAAATAAAGGCCTTACTTTCTACTTCATAATCACACTTCCTACTGGTTAATAGTAGATCAATAATCATTCTCATCAAGTTCTATGCTGTTATGATCACTTTGCGAATTGTCTCATTGTTCCCCAAGCTGGCAAAGTCCACAAGCTGTAGTACAAGATAACCCATCCTTTTTGCAGGAGCGTTGACAATTCTTGCAGCCAGTATAGCAGTTGCAATGAACAATTCTTAAAGGACTCTGGAGTGACACTTTGGGTCATCATGATTGAAGTAAAACATCCCTTTGAAATCTACCAATCCCATCTTAAGGATCCTCAACATTTTCCTTTCCCATCCATACAAGAATTTTACAATAGGTTCAGCGGCAATGCATCTTTGCAGCAGATTCAGTAGGGGGGGGGGGGGGAGTATGTTAGGTTTCACAAATGACGTGGCATTCACTACTTTTTTCTCAAGTGAATTGAATCTTAATTTTCTCAGTGAGTCATCAGATGTTCCCCCATACAAAATGGAAATTGCTTTAGCACCAAGATTATCAATGATTTCTTCGGTCTGATTTGGGGGTCACAAAGGCTTCTTGACTTGAGCATTCTTGTAACATATGGTCTCCTTTGACAAATTTCTTAAATATTCTCTTTTATCCAATGCCATGCAACCGAGAGCATATCACACCCTTTTATGGCATGTATGAACAGTAGCTGGGACACAACTCATCTCCTCTTAGTTTCAAACTGTCATAATCTTAATTTTCCCATTACTCTATTTCTGTCGGATCTGTAGTACAATGATTTGCTGTAGAGCTTGGCATGGTGTGTAAGTAGGACAAGTAGATCTGTATCTTCTCCTATCACTGTTGTTTCTATTTCCAATTTTGTTACTGCAGATAAAACAACGGTTACATCAGCATCTTTTGGAGCATTAATAACTGCACATCCTCTTTTACTTTCTTCTCCCCCTATACCATAGTATATGGAGAAAGTATTGTTTTCGTCAAAATTTTCGAGTTTGAGTTTTGAGTGGATATATTCGTTTTGGGTCCCCCTGGACCCAAAAAAGTGGTTTTCGAAGTGATGTCTGTGTGTGTGTGTGTGTGTGTGTGTGTGTGTGTCTGTGTGTCTGTGTGTGTGTCTGTGTGTCTGGATGTGTACAGAGCTAGAGACTACACCTGTTGTCCGATTTCAATGAAATTTGGTATGTAGGTTCTAATCTATGGTATCTCCAGGTGTTTTTTTCATTTTTTTGAAATTTTGATTTTTAATGGGGATTTTTCCATAAAAACCCATAAAAAAACGAAAAAATCGGATTTTCTCAAAAATGGCCCGAACGATTTTGATACAAATTTAGTATGTTGTAGCCCTTTAAATTCTGAACAAAATGGTACAAAGCCCATTTCTGTAAAAATTACGGTTCAAAAGTTATGGTAAGTTATGTTATTTTCCCATAAAAACCCCATAAAATAACGAAAAATAGGGTTTTAGACTAAAATCCCGTTTTGATTTAACATAGTATGTTATGGTCCTTACAATTTTGATAGTTTTTTTTCATTTTTTAGAAATTTTTATTTTTAATGGGGATTTTCCCATAAAACCCCATAAAATAACGGAAAAATAGAATTTTCCCAAAAATGGCCCGAACGATTTTGATAACAGTTAAGTGTGTTATAGTCTTTTATATTCTGAACAAAATAGTACAAATCCCATTTCTGTAAAAATTACGGTTAAAAAGTTATTGTAAATTATGTTATTTCCCTATAAAAACCCCATCCCAAAATTGGCTCGAACGATTTTGATAAAAACGTAGTATGTTATAGTCCTTGAAATTCTGAAGAAAATTGTACAAATTCCATTTTCGTATATTTACTCTCACCGCTTACACATGATAAAGGTTGTTGACAAACTTATGGGAGAAAGTATGTGTCAGAATGCTGATACCGTTTATTTTAACTGTAGGCTCACCAGATCATTCAATCCCTGTTTGTTTTCCTTTACTGATAAGTGATAAGAAAACTTCTTTTCATCCAGAAAAGAAAACTCTGTTTCGGGAGAACAACTGACAAATGGATGCAAGTTTTTTCCTCTTCTCAAGATTGTACAATCTTTAATGTTCGACTCATCTGGATAGTTATCTAACACCACAGCGGTTCCTACACCATAGACACAATTCTACAAATTATTATACTACACTGCAGTAACATTCAATTCAGTATTTATAAACTTGCATTAACAAAACATAGCTAGTTTTACATATATACAAAATTACTCAATTTCTAAAACTTCTACCAATTGATAATGAAATTTTATGACTTCAAATGTAATGTTTCAAATCCAAAAAACTTTGCAAACCATTGTGGTAGCAGACGTAGCAGTGTAAAATTTTAGGGATATAAAATAAGCCTCAGAGTACAAATTAGTACTGTATAGAAAAAATATTGTATAAAAAAATAATGAAATTAAAATACTTTTAGAAGTTAAGATCAACATTTTAACTTTCATAAAACTTACAACTAGTTAAACAAGCTACGTAGGCCTAAACAAGTTTGTAATGATGAAATGTTAATATCAGTGTTGTGAATAATATTATTCTAGTGTATAGAAAAGAATAAACCTAAAATAAGACTCGTATAAAATAAAAACGTTCAACTTGGTTGATAATAAACTTATACATACGATAAAAATGTTAACCTTCATCTTCATGAAACTAGAACTTAGATCAAAAATCAAACTTAGAGTGAAAGTCAAACATCAAATTTTAGGTTATGTTTTGTCCACGTAGATCTGTTTCAGAGTGATTAGTTGATTCATTTGTAAATCCTTAATTAGGAATGATAAATAACTTGTGTAGATTTTTTTTAAATATTCAGAGAATACATATTTCATTTAGGTTATTAAAAAATAAGAGTTTTAGAGGTAATACCGAAAACACAAAACCTATCTGTTATTTTAATCTACTTATTAGCAAGTACTCCGGTCAGTTAGCCTGTTCCAAATACCACAAAAAAAGGTATAAAATATATTTCATGTGACTGACGGGAAAAATACCATTTTTGGGGTTTGCGAGTATTTGGTAAAGCCGACACTGCAACAGTTCACTCAAGACGACTAACCAAATAAAAATTTATAACATACTAAAACTTTTGTTTGAAACATTTTGCGTATTTGATTAGTAAAAATTATATAGAGGATAAAACAAAATTGTGTCCTCTAAAACATAAACATTATCGAAGTTAAATTGTTATATCTCTTTAAAAATAATTTAAGAAGAAAACCTATAGTACAAAAGTTGTAGATTAACTAATTATAAATAATACAAATCAAATTTCAATACGATAGCATGCGTAGGATTTGAATTATATCCATTAAAAAGAATGACTGCAATTTCCAGTTTGGAGGGGTGGGGGGGAAGGCTCAAGGGGGAGACACGGGGACTTTTCAAAAATACACGTCTTAAGTGGTTCTATCACATATTTTACAAACTCAGCTATCCACTATTTAGCTACGAAAAAAGGCAGTTTGTGTGTTTATTGACTGGGCTAGATGCGATGACGCAGCGCTGAGGTGTTCAACTAGCCCGCACGCACTCTCTTTGCCGACGTCCAGCTCTTCACCCGGTCACCTAGATGACTAACCAATTTTATATTTTAGTTTATATTTGTAAACCTTGAAAAACGTACTGAAACTTTTGTTTGAACCGTATTTGCGTATTATTTCTATTTAAAAGTATACATAGAGAAAAACAAAATTTTGTACCCTGAAACAAAGCTTTTAACAAAGTTTAAATTTTATACCTCCCTAAATACTGGTTTTAGAAAAGAATGTTAAATACAAAAGTTGTAGGAAAACTAATCATAAATTAAACTAAAACAAATTGCAACACGATAGTATACATAGTATATTACTTACAATCAATTAAGTGATACACTGCAATATCTAGGGGTGGGGGGAAAGCTCAAGGGCTAGTAGTGGGGACTTTTGGAAAAATACATCTTCCATGTGGTTCTATCACATATACAAAATCCATCTTTCTACCATTTAGTTGCGATAAAATACCTTTATTGACTTGGCTAAAATAGAGGTTGTGTACAATTTGCCGTGTGAAGCTGGGGATTGCCTTGCAAAGCCAAAATGTTTAGGGCCTACATACAATTTTAGTTTGGTCATTTTTAAACTGGATGCATCTTTCCCGGCCAGAACTTTCGTTTGTTACGTTGTTTCCATACTCAGAACTACTGTTAAAGATTTGTTTCTGATCTGAGACATAGCGAGCGCTTCATTCCTTTTTTTATGTTGATTCTAAATTATTAAAATTATGTTCGCCTTTGGAATGATCTCCCTCTAGCATTAAAACCCTTGCCGTTCCCCGGTTTGTGGCAGTCCTAAAAATCTGTTTTCTGGAGGTATGGCCATGGTTGGTATGTCCTAGGGTTATGTACTCTTGGTTGTTCACCGACAGGTGTGCGTGTGTGTGTGAGCGAGCGTTCCCGAGTGTGTGTGTGTGGGGTGTTTATGTAAAATAAATTAAGCATTATTTGTTTGGAAATATAGTGTTTTTCTCTCCATTAAATATTGTAAATAGATTGTAGGCTAGGATATATTGTACAGTATAATGAGTTTAATTTTTATCTATCGGTAAAGTGTAAGGATGGACCATGTGGCCCTAACTTTGCCTGTTAATATAAAGAATCTTCATTTCATTTCATTTTCATTTGACGATGAATTTCAATAAGATTCACATTTTCTACCAATGAAAACAATCAATACTGCACCTAAAAAATAGTAGGATTTTCCATTTCAGCACACTTTTTCAACTTGAAAAGTAACATAAGTAGCACAACTTCACTTCCGCTGTAACAGCTGGATCGTCACTGAGGAGACAAACATTTCTGTACTTGAAAGTCAAAACATTCTTTCTGTTTAGCCCTCATGTGATTTTTTCATTTAATCTTAAGATAATGTAATACCTCTTTATTATGATAAGTTATAGAGGCTATGAGCGTTGAGAGTAACATTTTATTTGTGAAACACATACTGGGTGGAATGAAATACCTTACAACTAAGTGAAGGGTAAAGGTTCAGTCCGGAAAACTTTAAAAAATAAATTTACATTTTAAAAATATATTTTGGGTGATTTTGTTTTTAAGTAGCTGACTAATAAGCAGTTACTTGTAGTTTTATTACATGTACTCTCTTCATTTCTTAAATAATTACAGGGTTTAAACATTATTACCATTAACAATGTTAACATTACAATGCATGGTAGTTTTGTTCAGCTTGAGTGTATTATCTAATGGGGTTTTTAGGAAATGGTATTTCTTTGTAAAATGATTTTCTTTTTAATATTATAATTTAAATGCACATAACATACATATTAATTAAAACATTAAGTAAAAAAAATATATAAAACATCATAGTTAGACATTTTGATTTTCAAATAGAGGCTTTCATTGTCAGTAAAAAGAACCGTGAATCAAGTTAAATACATTAATTTATTGCTCACATTAAACTTACTTTTTACAGCAAACACTTAAGTTTTCGATGACAGTAATGGAAGTTCTTGTAGATGCTGTGAAGAATCCACCATATGCACCACCAGTGGTAAGTCTAGACCCAACTATGTAGTAAAGTAATATTACTTTGCATGCTAGAGTTACTGAACGTGGAATTATCAAAATAATAGGGGACGTCTCTAAAGCCTCCAAGGACAAAGGTTTTTTTGTAGGGAGAAGGTAAAAATCCATTTACGCACACTGAAATGCTCAATCTCAGTAGTGCTGGACTACCGCGAGCTCATTGTCCCTGGACTACCGGCTGAAAACCCACCTAACTTCCTAGGACTAGCCTGGAACTGTTTAGCACATTATTTTGAGCTAGGCCTTTTTAACTACGCAACTGGGGATTTCCTTCCGAAAGCTACAAAGGCATTTCGAGATCGACCTTCTTAGCCCAAAGTATAGCCTCGGTTATCTGCTTGACACATTATGGTGCCCTCTCCCTGGAGCATAGCTCCAACGAAGTTGTAGGGAGTGATGTCGGCGCCGATCTCAGAGATCAAAGAGGCTTGGAGGACATGCCACCTGTCGCAAAAGAAGAAGGTGTGCTCGGCCGTGTCTGCAATGCCGGGACAGTACAGACAGTATGAGGGGGCGGCCTTCCCCATTCTGTGCAAAAAGGCCCAGGAGTACGTGTGACCCGTAAAAAACTGAGTCACAAAATACCCGACCTCACCATGATCCCGTTCCACCCATGGTGGGATGCTAGGAATGAGCCTGGCAGTCCAACGTCCTAACCAAGGATAAAGGTAAACCCTGATAGAATTGAAAAATCCCAAGTAATGCTTCAAATTAAAAACTAGTGGCTGCACATTGTCTGGGTGGCATCTAGTCACCATCGTGCAAGGTGGCAGGTTCTTGTCTTTGACTGAAATGCCGAGGTGGCGGGTTATCAGACTGGTAACCTGACAGCAGCCTGAATATCTAAACAAACTGCTCTTTCAAGCAAGCTCCATGGAGCAATAATATTCTATTGGTTATATTGAATTCTTATGCTTACTTTTTGAATCTTTTTTAAATAAATATATCTCCATTAATATTTTGTCCCTGAAGAATAGTTTTTTATAGCATTTTCAAATTTTCTAAATAGTAAATTTTGTTTAAGTTATGGTTCCACAGAATTTTCAGCTTGCGGTGCAAAATTTTTTTTGCAGAAATTACGCCGCGTATAATTTGAAAGGGTGGTTCCAGGGACTGCGTAAATAATGATGCGGAAATTCAGTTGTGTTTAACTAACTGCACAGTCACAATAATTTATGGCTCCTCTCCGCTGGTAGATTCTGGACTGCCACTGCTGTGGTGATTCGGTTAGCTTAGTTAAATTTCACTAGGTTTGGTTCATGGTAATAACTAGTAAAAAAATAGTTATTAATAAAAATAAGAACACCAACAAAAACTTAAAAAAAAATTCTAAATTGATTGTGTGGCAGAGATTTGGGGTTTGAATATTGGTGACTGTATAATTGTTGTTACTTTTTTACAGCGGTAGTTATGTAAAGTAAAAATGGAGTCACCAGGTTTTCTTTGATTTTTAGGGATCGGACAGCAAAGGAAAGTTCCTCTTCCCAAAAGGCTGGTAACGCGCTCTAATCTCTGAATTCTCTTGCTGGTAGCGGGGGGTGCTTTGGAAATAATGCGTTATGACAGTAGCCGCGGCGACAGGTTCCATGACCGTAGGTGGTAATAAAGTCTATAGCTTTTGGGTTACAATCTTGTAGCCCATCACCCAAGGGTTGTTTTGGATGTCCTGATACAGTTGCTTCCAACAACTGACGTAACTCCAGTTGATAGCACCATAGATAAAAACATACTCCCTTAGTAGACTTCCCATCCTTATGGAACAGCTGAAGCCACTTTTACTGTAAGTTCTGTCCGGTGTACTGTAGAGTCGTGTTTTGTTTACTGAACACCAATGGTGATCTCGCATGGCAGCCTTGTGTTCCTCTGATCTAGCATTTCCTTCAGACCGATATATGGCATGCTGCGCTGCTTGTCGGAGCCCAAGGCACATTCTCCGGGGTACCGCAATCTTGGGTTTCCACCAGTAAGTTGGCTTCTTCCTGTGGTGGGTGGAAATCCTAGGCATGGAACGGTCAAAATGGTGGGATGCATCGTCAACGTGGCTTTAAATTCGGCACTTCCAATGTCCCCAACAGTTTGATTTTTGATGTAACCCTGAAAATGGGCCTGGCAATTGCCTTATAAGTCGCTTGCAGAGTAGTCCGTGAGCGCCCTTTGGTGTTTGAAAATCAATGCGCCCGACGGAAGGTTAAACACAAGTTAACAGTATGTTTGCTATTAACTGTTCTTAGTTCTTAGTATACGTTTGAATTTCTTTTGTAAGGAAAATATTTTCTATTTTTTCCAGAATCCTGTACAACTAATAGATCATATGGCAAATCTACTGAAAGAGGAATACTTTTGTAAGTTATTTGGTTTTGATACTAATTTTTATGAAACAAAATGATTTTTCCTACAGTCACCCGACAAAGTTGGCTTCATTGTACTGTTTGTAGTACAGAAAGCTGCTAATTGCTGCATATTTATACTTTGGCACATATCAGGATTCCAACGAAACAACACAAAACAGCGTGGTTCTATTATGCACGTAATCTGTGTACGCTTGGAAATAGGTTGGCAACATTAAAGATAATAATACTATGAGCAGCTGATTGACTATTTTAACTACGATTTAACCTGTCATTTCGTGTTTATAGTTTATGTTCTCTTTTCGGTATTTCTGAACTGTCTGGACTTTTCTTTTAAACGTTTTTAAAACATTCCTACGATCGTAATAAACAAGGAAATACCTTTAAAGCATTATTTTAAGCGCGGAAACCACTGCAAATTACAAAAATATACGGAACTATTTTCTCAAGTTGCGGAGCACATTGCTTGCCGAGGAAAAAATAGCGGAGTGATACGGACCGGGGACTACTTTCTCTAGCGCACCTATTTGTGTTGCCAGCTGAACCTAAAAACGTGTTGTATAGTGTTTGAAAGACTAATTATTTATATGCTTTATAGTGACTGTAGGAAAAATATAATGTGTGACACGACTGCAAAAGGCCTTTGCTGCACTCGAGATCATTCCACACGAGCCGCGCTCTCGTGTGCAGCAAAGTGCCACTTTGCTCACTAGTTACACAAATAACTATTATGGATTGGAATTTGATTACTGGTACTAAGTAGAGGTCTGCGGTGCACCGAAAAAGTCGGTACGGTATGGTACAAGTTTAATTACCGTCATCGGGTACAGCCTATTATAATAATAAATTACTTTCAGTTTACTATCATAGTCAAGGACAGTTGGTTCCAAGAACATAAAAGTCTAATCAGATGTTTTTTTACGATCTTCATAATTTATTACTAGGGTGATGATGCAATAAAAACCCCATTAGCAGTTCCAAATCCATTAACATTTTATTACGACAATAATTGTTGTATTCAAGTACTTCCAAGAACTGTTGAGTTTTATCACTTTTATTTCTTTACGACTTTCTCCAATTCTATTTTATCATAAAAATAATATTTTTATGATGACTGTTAAATGTTATCTCTATCTCAGTCAGTATTTTCGTAGATATTCAATTTGCCGCCAACGATGTAAAAACTACTGGATTGCGCTCTCAGTAGCACTGAGGGCGCTGTTTTCGGTCTAGCTCCCCCCACCATCTACTGGCAGTAGCTGACGCAGCCCATACACTCACCATTGTAAAACGCACCTTTTTAAGTTGCTGCTCTGTTAAAATATATAGATATAAAATATTGCTAATGCATGCCAAACACTTTTTACTATTCTAAACTTTATGTCTTCTTCTTTTCTTGCAGAAAATAACAAATTTGAACTCTTAAAACCCCTACTACATTTGTCCAGTTTTTACCGTAAATCTATGCTTGACATTAACGTAAAAAGCATATTTTTATGACCTATTTTGTAAGATACATTGTCATTAAACATTGAAAGAAAAAAATATCACGTTTACGTCAAACATAACGTTACCACTGCGGCAAAAACTTAGCTAAATTATTCTAAATGTTTATGTACTATTTTTTCGATTGATAAAATAGAATTTCAATTACAAATATTGTACTTTCTATTTCTCCTTTGTAATCACTTATTGTTTTACCATGTACAATTTGGAACTAGCAATATCAGTTGTCTAAAAACATCTACAAAACGGGTTTAGTGAATTTGTAGTTTTAAATAATTCAGATGGGCAATTTTCTGCAAGAAACAAAACAGACATAAAAGGTTTAACTAGTATAAAGAGTTTGACAAGCGTTAGCAATGTTTTATCCCTATAAATTTCAACAGAGCAGCAAATAAAAAGTGTGTTTTATAATGGTGAATGTATGGGCTGCGTCGGCTTCTGCCAGTCGATGGTGGGGGAAGCTCGACCGCGCGGCCAACACTGAGCCAGCGATCCATGAGTTGTTTATATCGTTGTTTGCCGCTGGCCATTGTCTACTGCCATAAAACTGTTTATGGCTACATATTAAACTTGTAACTAATCTACAATCTTATTTTATAAGTTAAAATATTTGTTATAGATATTTTATCTTTCTATTGACAACCACAAGCATAGTTGTTGTTGTTTGCATAATTTTTGTTTTCGTTATTCAAGCCTACTCGATCTCAAATTATGTCATTACATGTTCTGTATCTTGTCTTATATTGTTAGATGTGGCTGTTTAAGGCTTAAAATGTTTTTTAGTTTCCTGTATTTTTGTGTTGTGTTGAAGGTACTTTATGCAATCTAAATCTTATGAACTAGATAGTGATTTTGCTACCCTCATTGTAACCTAATCAATTTATATATATGTCCTCCTAAATAATTAGGTCTAGGCCTGGGTCTTTTGATTCTTTGGAAGAGCTTTAAAATATACTAAGAAAATTGGATTGAGCCTAAGATAAACTAATGATTGATTTGATTGATATTGTGGATTTTAACTTTGTAAATGAAAAGACAGTAATCTTACTCTGTGATAATCCAAATTTTAGTTTCAGAAAAAAACTTTTCAAGAGTTGTATCCATCTTATAACTAGTTTTGAAGCTGATTCAAAAATATGCTCTTTGCCATTACTTCATCATAATCTCTAGTGAACGGCTGGCAACTACACTGTCATCGTACTGAATGCTTTTAGGCCTCTATGTTTTAACAAAATTTAAAAACAACTAGACATTGTGTTGGTTGGAAATAATTTACCAGTTGTGTTAAATTATCTTGTCAATAAATGTTTCAAACATGTTTGTTCCTAAAAACTCTTATCATATTTTTAAAACCACTTTTATCATGGCTATTCAAAGTATCTCAGATTAAAATAGGTAAAGCTTTTATCTTAACTGTGATTTTTCTTGACACAATCCTCGTATTAGTAAAAGGTTTTGTTTTAATAATGTGTGGTACAGTAATTGTTGTTAGAAAACCATGAATGTAGGATACTATCCATTTTCATAGTTATGTCAATGTATTAAAGTTAAAAATAATTGTTTGAATACAGTTCTGAGCAGAAAACCACAAAAATACGGGTAGCCGTGTACCGTACCGATTTTGTACCGAGAACCGAGGTACAAAATATTGTACCGTACCGAACCGTACCGACCTTACATTTTCTGTACCGCAGACCCCTAGTACTAAGATTTGTTCCTCTTTACCAAAGAGGTAGTTTGCTTATTTTGTATGTTGCCAGTAATATTCAGTTCAGGTAATATCATGTATTTTGCCTCAGAAGAAAGAAACAGTAGAATCATGATCATGTACTAAGGAAGTTAGCCAGATATTGAAATATAAAAATTAAATTTTGATCTAGCTAAAACTTATTTAGTAAAAATTAAAGTTTTCTTTTTTAAATGAACGTTTTATAGACCAGTTATTGAAAAGAACAAATTAGATAAATAAAGGCACCATTGATTAGGAAAGAGCAGGGTGCCAAGAGAATACAGAGAAAATTGGGTGTGTCTTTGGGTTTCATCATGTTGTATAGTTTTGCGAGGAAAATTAACTGGGATATTCAGAGAGCTTAAAAGAGTTAAAGTAGTTAGAGAAGTAAGAGTTAGAGCTTAAGCTCTCAATTAAAAGTGATTCAATGATGTGTGATCATGTTTGGGGGGTTTATTTTAAGTAAAATGCTTTATTGAACCAATTAACTTGCGTATCTGCAGAAATTATTGGGACATGATCTTATACAGTAGAGCGTCAAAATTTCTGAACGTTAAAAAATCCAAAACGTCAAAAATCCAAACCCCTTCTAAGGGTTTTAAAAATACACAGTATTGAATTACCACTGATATAACAGATGTTTTACAATTTCGCGGGCCAAAAAGTCGGCGTCCGGTGGGGAAATGTGTTAACACGCCGAGGCAGTCAGTGTTTTGTTCGTTTCCAATGTATAAACTCTACATATTTTTTCAAGAAACAAATTCTAAGGACAAAAACCATTGTTTTTATTTCATTTACTGTATCCTAGAACTGTATGTTTAATACTGTTGGCCTAATTATGTGTCTATTAGGTATTTCTAGGTTATGTTTGAAAATCCGAACAAATCAGTAATCAGAACTACCCTATCCCAATTGGTTCGGATTTTTGACGTTCTTCTGTATTAAGCTTGAGAGGGTTTCTGTTAGACTTATCCAACCTTTTTGTACATATTTTGAATTGGACTCTGGTTAAGTGAACATTAAATTGAAAGGTTATTTCCAACAAAAAATGTACTCATTCAAAAGTAAACTAATACTTATTACTACCATATACATGGTTTTGGCTTCCTTGACAGCTACATTGTCAGCTCTCATTTGTTTTTTTAAGTTATCCTAGGAGAATGTGCGGTAAAGGTTCTTGTTATCACACTAACTGCTACAAAAAAAACAAGTTTCTGATTCCTGATTAACATACTAGCTGGTTAAATAATTTGAATTTTGATTTCAGCCAAGCGAGTTCCTAAGTCGATATGTGGATCTTCGGTTGTATCAGAGCGATCTGTAGAAGAATGTGAGTAAGGCTTTTTGTGAGAGACTTGATATTCAAAAGAAAAAAATAATGTCTATTGAATTGCAGAGTTGCAATATGTACCTTAACACGTTAGCTACTGCAATAGTACGAAATTTTTCATTCACATGGACCAGCGACGCACATATGCGACGGCCGGTTTCCACCAATAGACTGCCGTCACATATATGCGTCGGGGTTCTAATGTTATTAAAATGCTTATATCTTTGTAACAGTCTATTTGAAGGCACTGAATTCCCTGCAGTGGTCTACAGAGATGTCTGACGCACAACTGCGTCGCTTGGTCTGTGGATATGATGATTGGTGACGTCATATGATAGTTGGAAAAACTGGTCTTTACTTTTCTAGTTTTCTGCATCACTGTATGTATGTATGCAGTATGTATGCTGCATTATCCTATCTAGCTTTTATATTTGTTCAGTTATAAACTGTTCTTGAATAATCTGTTTTATTTTACTTACTTTCACCTCAAAACACAAAAAAATAGGGATGGACGGGATTGAATTTTTAGTTCGGGACGGGATTCTTATTTCCTTCCCGATTTTCGGGACGGGATTTTTTTTTGTGCATAAAAAGAAAGTACTGTATTGCAGTTACCAAAAAAGACATACAAAATCAATTTTTACCATTTGTGACACTGATCTATAAAAACCAAAAAATGGGTAACAATTTACAGGTACCTATAGAAACTTGTGACTCGCGGGTCACGGGGTGATCGTCTGTATGACTCACGGTCACGGCGCGATTGTCATCATGACTCGCGGTCACGGCGCGATCGTCGGTATGAGTTGCGGTCTTGGCGCGATCGTCGGTATGACTTGCGGTCACGGGGTTATCGTCGTTATGACTCGCGGTCACGGGGTTATCGTCGGTATGACTCCACGGTCACGGTGTGATCATCGTCATGACTCGCGGTCACGGCGTGATCGTCGTCATGACTCGCGGTTACGGCGCGATCGTCGGTATGACTCACGGTCACGGCGCAATCGTCGGTATGACTCACGGTCACGGCGCAAACGTCGGTATGACTCGCGGTCACAACATGATCGTCGTCATGACTCGCGATCACGGCTCGATCGTCAGCATGACTCCGCGGTAACGGCACGATCGTCGGTAGGACTCCGCGGTCACGGAACGATCGTCGGTAGGACTCTGCGGTCACGGCGCGATCGTCAGTATGACTCCGCAGTAAAGGCGCGGACGTCGGTATGATTTGCGGTCACGGCGCGATCGTCGTTATGACTCCGCGGTCACGGGGTTATCGTCGGTATGACTCCACGGTAGCGTATTAAAATGTTAATGATCACTGTTTTACAGGTTTTCGCCCGTGGTCTGTGTGCACTGTTATCCAAGTGACAGCCGATCTATGTGTAAGATTCAAATGTATATCTCGGTCTGTGGCAATGACCGCTGCGTCGCATATATGCGACGCTCAGAGCAAACGTGTTGAAACTGTGAAAAAGTCATAAATTTTGTCAACCATTATAAAATCTGGGTTGAGCCGTAGATTTGCCTGTTAAAACTTAGAAATAGGCGCGGGCCAAATGTAATTCTTGGTCCCTCTCAACCTTTTTGATACTTAAGGACTTTTGATCCAAAGCAATTCCTGAATATTCTGCACCACAGCAAAATTGTAACAATAATGATAACATCCTGTTAACACTGTTGTCTCTCATAACAGCGGCGATACAAATATCATCTTTCTTTATCAGGGCAATATCATGCAAAATTTGGGGCTGGCTTCTGAGATCGCTGTAATATCCTGAGATCCCCAAAAATGCAAAAATTACTAAAACTTCAACCAAAATACAAAAGTAAAACATTGCAGAATTTAGGTCTTACTTTTAAACATTCCTTCTTTTAAATATTCAGTTAAATTTTTAATGGATGGATGATTATTATTCATGAATAAATTATGCATTCATTTTTTAATATTGTTTTAAAAATAATTGATTACCTTCCTGTTGAGATCAAACTGCTTCCTTTCTATTCATTGTGTAACTTAATCCATTGGCCTACCTCTTTTCTAGTGCATAGTCATCCCCAGTAATTCCGCACTCATACCACAGGATCGGATTCTTGGACGGTCATCCAAAACAGTTCAAGTGCGGTCCACAAATTCGTCTTCACTTTCATTGGAAGTCGTGACTATCAATAAATCTGTCTATTTCACTCAACCACAAGCCACAACTTCGTGACCTCAAAACTTGCACTAGTTTGTTTACGTTTAACATTATTTTCTAAATATCAGGGTTGCCAACCGATAGAACGAAATTGTAGTGTAACTAATGCAGTTTATTGTAGTGACATAAAGTGAGTACTTGCTGCTATCTATTGGAAAAAGCCGAAACTACTAGCACTGCCGCGTGACGAGAGTACCTCGTCGAAATATTCTGTAGCGTCCAGGAGGCCGGACGAGAACGACTCGTCAAAGTAGGCCAATGGGTTAATTTCTATCTGAAATGGCATCCAAATTAAGCTGGCAGCTATCGTGCCACATAAAGATATTTATTTAAATATGTTTCTCTCCATAAGGTCCTCTATGATATGCTGCAATGTTGCAGTGAGTCTAACTTCACCTGAGGCTATATATGGTTCATTTTTACTTGATAACTTCTCATTAAAGTTTTTTTCTGATATTTGTCTGCTTTGAACAGTTTCAGATCCAAGAGTTGTGCTCAAAGACATAACCCAAGATTCAGTGGTGAAATCTCAAAGGACCAATCTCACTCAACAATTGGATTATTCAACTATGAACAAAACAACAACCAGACCACTTGCTTATGGCCAGCAAGAGATGTCTATGAGAAGCGAACTTGGAAGCCAAAAGAGTGTTCTTTCATCCAGCCGAAACCTGCTAGATAAATTGACTGAAGGAACTTTGACTGCAAATATTAATTTCTTAAATGATAGTGAGATAGCTCGTAGGAGAGATGAAGCAGCTGTGAGCGAAGAAAGCACAGTTGTAGTCATACCTAGGGGACGTAATAAAGTATTTCCTAAAGCAACTCCTAGACCTACAAGTCAATCAAATAAAACTACCAAACCTCCACCTACAGCTACCAGGAGACCTGGAAATGCACAGTCTAAGTAAGTTTATTAACTTATTTCCATTCATTTTCCAGTATATTTAATATATTCAAGATATTTAAAATAAGTGAGTTAGAATTTTTCATAGCTGCATTGGTTTTAGCGAATTTCCCTATAGGGAAGTAGATATTACCGTAGGTGGCATGGTAAGACCTAGGCCCGGGCCTGATTTACTTTTTAATTTTGAAATGAAATTAAATGAAATGAAAATCCTTTATTTCAACAGGCAAAGTTAGGGCCACATGGCCCTTTCTTGTAACACTTAACCTGCATACATAATTATAAATATAAAATAGAAAATACAATTTAACACATTATTTACACAAAAACAATACTTTTTTGACAAAACGAAAACAAAATGTCTAACAACAACAAAAAAGTCTCACACACTCAGTCAGCAATTACGCAAGTGCCAAAACAGTCCTAGGACGCACCAGCCGAGGCCATACGCTCAAAGTACATTTTTTCAGTGCCGCCACGAACCGAGGACGACTATCAAGCATTTTGATGCATAAAGGTAAGTTGTTCCAAAGACGGCAGGCAGTTACAACAAAGGCCCTGTCATATGCTGTACTCCTATGATGAGGTATGCGTAACGTGAAAGATGCAGTGCGTGAAACATTTACACATGCACATTTACATTTTGATGTCCCCAGAGGCTAAAAACACCATTCTTATCTTATCTTATCTAACAGGGGCAGGTCGAGACCTTAAAGCACTTCATCCGAAATCGAATTATTGCGCACCCCAGATACTTAATTGCTTTCTTGTTGACCTACAAGTTGAGGCGCCCAATGAATGCCTGTAGCTTCCCAATTAGTTCATCCTCAGGAAGATATCTACCTCTAGCCATATTTCCAAGAGTTATCGATCTAGCGTCAGAGAGCTCGTTACAATCAAAGAGTAAGTGATCAGCTGTCTCTTCTGACCTATCACAGTACCTACAGATCGGTTCACCATCATATAAGCCCATCCGTTGTAGATGTTTCCTGAATCTTCCATGACCAGTTATCAGTTCAACAATTAATTTAATTCTTCGTCTGTCTAGTCTCAAGAGGTCACAGGCAACCTTTTTGGAAGGCCTAAACAGAGTAAGCTTGCTGACCCTAAGAAGGGGAACATCGACCCAGCGTTTGCGATGCTTTTCCCCCATGACGCAATCGCAGAACATACACTGTTTCGTGAGATGCCACAGAAGGGTTGTGGGCCTAACAATGATGTCGCAGAGGCAGTATTTGCCAATCTGTCTGCAGCTTCATTTCCTTTAATGCCTGAGTGTCCTGGTACCCAGCAAAGCGTAAGGTCATTTCTCCTACCCAACTCAGACACAGAAGCAAGACAATCCCACACGAGCCTGGAGTTGAATTCGTAAGAGTTTAATGCTTTTAAGGTCGCTTGACTATCAGTATAGATATTGATTGTTTTGTCTCTGATATCTTAAGATGTTCTTGAGCACAAACTAGAATGGCAGTGACCTCCGCTTGAAAGACAGTTGGGTACACCCCCATTGGAAGACAAATACCAGTGCCTCCATTCATCCAATGCACACCTGCTCCAGTGCCCCCATTTTTGATCTTAGAACCATCAGTATAGCATTCTAAGTCACCTGTGGGTATGGGTCCTTTTCCGCCAGACCAATCCTTCCTATCTGGTATTAGTGCTTTGAAAGGCTTTCCAAAGGAGTATTTTTTGGACATGTGATCTGAAGGTAAGTCCAATTCATCATTATGTACCACCTGAACAATTTTGGAGTGCCCTTTATTGTTTCCTGAGGCTATCCATAAGTTTTCCCATCTAAGGCGTTGGGCTGTTTTACTTGCTACCACCTTAATATAAATGTCAATAGGTAACATGTCAAGCAGACAGTCAAGTGCCGCTCCAGGACAGCTACTTACTGCCCCAGTTATCATAATAAGAGCAAGCCTCTGAACTCCTGCTAAAGCTTTAACAGCTATAGTTGATTCCATCTTGGCCACCACACATGCGAACCATATGTAAGGGCGGGTCGAACAACAGATACATACAGCCAGTGCATAAGTTTAGGCTGTAACCCCCATGTGCCACTTACCATCCGCCTGCATGCCATAAGGGACCATTTGCCACGCTCAATGACTTTTTGAAGATGTGGTCCCCAGTGAAGTGATCTGTCCAAAATTACACCAAGATACTTCACCTGATTCTGCAGCTCTATTACAGTACCCTGCAGTCTTAGAAGGCCGATCCCATCCAGTTTCCTCCTTCTTGTGAAGGGTACCATTACAACTTTCCTGGGATTTATAGAGAGCCCAACTTCCTGGCACCAACGGTCCACTACCCTTAAAGCTCTATTCATAAGGTCAGTTATGGTTCCGTGGAACTTTCCAACCACAAGGATTGCGACATCATCAGCATAACCTAAGGCGAAAACCCCACTTTCGTTGAGGGTCCTTATAAGGTCGTCTGCTACCAAATTCCAAAGTAGAGGAGAAAGAACCCCCCCCTGAGGACATCCTCGAGTAGTTCTTGCCTCGATCGTATCATTGTGGAGTGAGAGCCTAACCTTCCTACTGAGAAGCAAGGATTCAATCCATCTACATATTATACCGTGAAAACCTCTTGCTCTCACCGCATTAAGAATCGCTGGAGTACCAGTATTGTCAAAAGCACCTTGAATATCGAGAAAGGCACCCAGGGCCACTTCACTGCTCTCTAGAGCTTTCTCAATCTTGCTTACAAGTTGTTGCAACGCAGTCTCGCATGATCTTCCTGAGACATACGCATGCTGATTAATATGTAAAGGATGTGTCCTAAGAGCTGTATCCATCATATATCTTGAGACCAACTTTTCTAGGATCTTAAGAAAGAAAGAAGATAGAGAAATGGGTCTAAATGACTTAGGGTCAGTGTAACTATCCCTTCCTGGTTTAGGAATAAATGCGATACGCGAATTACACCACCCTAAGGGAATGTGTCCTAAGGCTAAGCTGGCTCTGAAAAGTTTACAGAGTGGGTGTATAATTGTATCAAGACCCTCCTGCAAACAAACAGGTCTTACCTCATCAGGACCCGGCGATTTGAAGGGTCGTAATAAGCCAACAGCCCATCTTACCTTGCTGAAGGTGACTATGCGGCAAGCAGTGCTCCACATAGAATGAGTGGCACGACGGCCCAGGTTAGGCCGCTCTAGACTCACCTCCTCCTGCTGCACTTCAGAAACAATACAACCAGGGAAATGAGTTTTTACCATAACCTTTAGTATTTCGGTAGGTTCAAAAGCCATTACACCATCCGGTCCCTCAACGGCACCCAAAGTAACATGCCTGTCTCTAACAAGTACCTTATGTATTCTAGAAGTATCCTTGATACTCTCTAAATTTCCACAAAAATTTTTCCATGAAAGCCTTTTGGCCTTACGTACTGCATGGTTATATTCTGTGAGAGTTGTATGGTATATATCCTAATTATTGGTTATCTTTGCTCGCCTAAATTGGGCCCTTACTCTCTTCCTAAGAGAGGCAAGTTCAGGACCCCACCAACTAGCCCTGTTGCTCTTTCCCTTGCTCAAAGGACAATTATCCTCAAAGGATGTAACTATGCACCTAGTTAGACGATCTGCCGCCTCGTCAAGCGCATCAACTGTGTTTATAGGAGATGTGTTCAGGTTTGAGGCAATTCTGCCCCGAAGATCAGCTCTGAAGGATGCCCAGTCGGTTTTAACTGGGCTCCTGAATAAGCGAACCTCGCCGCAGAAATTCCCCAACCCGAAGACAATGTGCCTATGATCAGACAGGGATGGCTCAAGGGACCCTGACCAGTCAATAATCCTGTCAGCCATACCCGCCGAACACAGGGTAAGATCAATTACTGATTGGCCTATCCTGCTTAAAAAAGTTGGTTCTGAGCCTACATTTGCAACAAGTAGGCCGCAAGAAGCTATGTATTCTAGAAGTGACCTACCTCGGTTGTTAGTGTCCCTGCATCCCCAGGCCGTATTATGGGCATTGGAGTCGCAGCCTATCACGAGTTCGGATCCAGACTCGTTTGCGAGGTCGACCAATCTTCTGACCTCGGCCGATGGGAACAGTCCATCGTCGCCCTGTGGCATGTAAACAGAGGCCAGCAGCAGTTTTATGTTGGATTTAGTACATACAGTCTTAATTACTGTTACGTCCCTCGAACAAAGCTCTAGAACTGGATTACATTTTAGCCCCTCTTTAACCCAAATGCAAGTTCTAGGGTGTGGTACAGATGCAGAGAAGATGCTACCCTTTATAGTTCCCATCCCCGCAATTCTAAAATTATTGATCCAGGGTTCCTGAATCAAGGCATAATCTAAGGACTGCTTAACCGTGCTCAGACAGAACACAGCCGTGGCAGCCTTACTGTGTTGTAGGTTCGCTTGAAGGACCTGAGTCATCAGAGGGAGCACCAGAGATAACTCTGAGCTGTTTTTTCCCCAGACCCAGATAGATAATCCAGCCACGATCTTTCAGAACCTGCGCATTCATTTCATCAATAGCAAGAACAAGAATCTGATGATCATCCTTCCTCTTCCCACCAATGACGCGCCAGTCCTTTGTCGTGACACCAGGATTTTGCCGCTCAATCTGAACAAACACTTTAGAGGCTTCGACCTTGGCCAAGCGCCTGTCAGTGCGTAGGAGCACTTTAGTCGTGCGCAACAGATCCTTATAGTCTGCTACAATGACCTCCATACTCCCCTCACTTCCCAGCGCCAGCTTCGGTGCCACCCTCTTTAGCCAGTCAGTTGTTTCAGAATTACCACAAGTTACGACAAGAGCACCCTTCTCATGGTAAATTTTTTCAAACTGATGAGGAATGTTGGCGCCGTCATCACCAAACACCAACTCCATCAGTTTGTCCTGCAACAAATCACATTCCTCAACAGAGAATCTCGCATCGGGATAGGCCGCTGGAGCTACTGCCAACTTGTGACCCACAAGCTGATCTCTGTAGCTGGCCTTTCCTGCAACGAGTCCATCTGCTGATTGATTAGAGTT